CTTTCAATTTCAGTATCAATCCAATTAAGTTGTACTTTACGTTCCGTATCTAACTCAACATTAGGTTTCTTTTTTAACTTTTTTGCACGCTTCTTTTCTTCATATTCGATCTCCGATTGCGTTAAGGGATTTAACCACTCCCCCATTGTATTAGAGTCACTTACATTAGTAGTTTGCTTCGGGGTAATAATGTCTTTCGATGTTCTGGACGAAGCAGTTGTGGTGGCAGGTACTGTATCTGAATCTGATATCATCTTTTTATTTCGTTTGGCAGCTTTATCCAGTACAGGCTTATTAGATTGAACAACTTTTGGATTCTCGTTTTCTTTACTTGGACGAGTTTCTCTACTTGATGACTCCGTTTGTTCTTGATCTTGGAGAGATTGTTTTGAAGGTTCTTCATAAACTTAAAATATATAATGATAATGATAGGTAATAAAGTTTATACTTTAATATAATGTACTGTGTATTTACCTTCCGTATGAATGACTTTTTCTCCTATTCCACTGCTTTTTCTTATTTTTTCTGTAGAATTACTTAGGTCTGTTTCTGCAATCTTTTTGTTTTTATCATGTAAATTTACGACTTTTGGTGCAGATTTTACAATAGGAACTTGGGAAGAAGTCACTGAAAGAGGCAAACTGGAGCTTATAGTTGGATAAGGTTGCATAAAACTACCCTCTGAGCTCATGGCAATAATCTTGTTTACAATATCTCGTAAAAGTTTCCGTTTTTGTTTTCGATCTAAACTTTTAGCCTCGATAAGTGAACAAAGCAACTTTACACCTAAATCTAATTGTGGAGAACGGGTGATTGACGTATTTGATGATGAAGCTTCTGTATTATCATCAAGTATAAGTCGTAACGTATTGCGTACTTCTTCAAATTTTATTGAATCGGTCGTACTTGCATTGGTCGTAGTTGCATTGTTGTTTTCACTGTTCCCAGCATTCATTTGAATTACTTCCGTTAATCTTGCTGTTAAACGCTCTTTTTCACGTCCCAATACATCTTCTTTGTCATCTGTCACATTTGAATCCGTCAGTTTTGTTGTTGAACTGTCTTTTTTGGGTTCTGTAGATTCTTCTTCTACATTTTTATTTGAGGAACGAGTGGTGTGATAATCGATACTAGATGGAGTTGTTGTGGTACCCATAGAATCTGGTGATATATTGACTTGTACTTCTTTTGCTGTTAGATTTGACATTCGTGTTAAGGATGTTTGTACTGATTTTTGCAAAAAATTAGTATATGACGTTGATGTACTAACATCTTTACTTTTACGTTGCGCGTCCCCACTTAATGACTTTGCGTTCGCCCCAAGCAAAGTGCTGGAAGCTAATGGTGAGTTTAAATTTTGTTCATAAGATTTTGACTTCACCTTTGCATCTTTTTTCACATTTTCATTTAGTTTTGCCAAATTTCCTTCTGAACTATTCGCGTTTAGTTTTTCCCCCGAAATTGACAATTCTTGTAACACATCCTTAAGTATAGAACGTTCTAACAAACTTATATTACTAGTTGATTTAGATTTTATGTAGCCTACATCGCCGAGTGAGTCCCATTCCAATATTTTGTTGTTTTTTGTTACCGATTCTGGCGTTTGGGTTTCTTTTGATCTCGTTTCTTTTTGTGGAGTCTTAAAATTATTATCAGTTTCTCGAGCATTCTAACATTATAGTGATGACAAAAATCGGTTTAATAAGTCGTTAATTTAAATAAAGCATTTAACAAACCTCTTTCTCTGCTTTACTGCTCCTTGACTCCATAGTAATTGAAATTATATGTTCTTTGGCCTTCTTATTTACAGCAACGTTTGGCAAGCTGCTACTTTTTGCTGCTTGATATTTTTTCACTTCGCTATCAAATAGTTTATTTAGCGATTTACCATCCAATCCACTAGTGGATGATGAACTTGAAACGATTGATGCACCAGAAGAACATGATGATAAGCGCATGTATTTTATAATATCACGATCTTCAGCATGCTTTTCATAATATTCCACAACTTCATCACAAACTCTACTCGAGTGTGGCAAGCGCTTCTTCTTGTGCATACTAATCTTTTTACTTGAATCCATGACTTTCGCGCCCGCTCTTGCTTTCAACAAAAATAAGGTGGTGGAATGCCAATTATAAATTTTGTTTGGGAAGTTTTCTTTCGTATTCAAAAATTTCCCTCAGCTTGCAGTGTTCGCAAATATTGAAACATAACAGAAACTAAAGTACGTCAACACAATAGTTTTTTTTATATTCAATATTGCTTATTCAGTATTTATCAAATTTCACATCTTAATTGATGTGCAATATTTTGATAGAAATGTTCACTTTTATTAAAAAAATTTTTAATATTTGTACTGACAATTTTGAATGAAATTTTTTTTCTATTCAGAATTACTTAAATAAATTTTTAGACATTAGGTATAAGTAGATTTCTTCATAAACTAATTCTAGCACTAACACAAAAATTAAAATTATTTCTATAAAAAATTTTAGCCAAATGCAGAATTAGTATATATTATTTATAACTTTTTAAAAGAATTTTAACTCTAAAACAATTAATTATACTTAAGAAAAATAACACACAAACGGGTATTTTTTTTTAAATAGGATAATATGTAATATGTATGTATTAACCTATATCCGCACAAAGATTTTTTTTGGAATTTTTGGTGAAAATGTTTTCTTTAAAGTTTAATTAGTATTGGGGTGTGGGGTGTGGAGTGAAGTCACAAATATTTTTGTAAAACTAAAGCTTCATACATTCAAAGTAATGTGACATATAAATTCTAAAGTTTTTCTAATATAAACAAAAAATCCATAAAAGGTGGTAAAATTTGCTGCTCGGTTAATCGAACGTTAGGCGAATATGTGTTAATATGCATTAATAGGATTATATAAAATTATATAGATATTATATAGAATAATATTCTTATTATTCTTATTCTTATACATTACACTTAATTTGGTTTTTTTCAACATATGCCATGCTTCAGAGGGTATAGAAATCTATTTTAAAACATATTTGAAAACATCAATCAATAATTAAAAATATTTATGAGGTTTCTGTGAATTGTAAGTTAGCACACAAATTTCATAACAAATTTTGCGATGCTTATACAATGCTCAATGCACAATGTTGCTTATATGGCATTTACATTGGCTTTAATTGGCTCATTTCAAATAATTCATTTAAAAGTGTTTATATAATTCATTTGTTCTCATTTCAAGCAGCTGATTTTTCAACTTGCCTGTTGATTTGATTTTTGGCCTGTGCATAAAAAAATGTTGTATGAAGGTTAAATATACCTTCAAACCTTACAAACTGAAAACTTATTTTTAGCTTCGATTAATTTATTTTTTGGAAGTAGAAGTTCCAAAAAGATGCGCATCGCTTTCAAGGAAATATTTGTTTACTGTTAGTAAATATATCAAAAATAGCCTTCTCAAATTGTCAAAATGCCATAAAAACTTTTATTTAGGGTATGTTCAATGAATTCATTTGCATTTGGAACTCATTTTAATGGTTCTTATACGGCGTTTACATTGGCCGAAAATGGCTCATTTTGGATGAGTCATTTGAAAGTGTTTACATTCGTTGTATTTCATTTTTTCTCATTTCAAACAGCTGATTTTTCAACTTGCATGTTGATTTAATTTTTGGTCTGTACCAAAAAAATGTTACAGGAAGGTTAAATATACCTTCAAACCTTACAATATAAACTGAAAACTTGTTTCTAGATCCGATTTATTTATTTTTGGGAAGTAGAAGTTCCAAAAATTGGTGCAACGTTTTAAAGAAAATGCAACCACCAAACATTTGTTTATCTTTTTTTGTAAATATGTCAAAGCAGCTTTTTCAAACTGTCAAAATGCCATGAAGAGCTTTCATTTAGGGTATGTTCAATGGATTCCTTTGCATTTGGAACGTATGTGGAATGCATTCGAACGTCATACAGAATGTGAGAAAATTGCTCATTTTTGTGCTTGAAATTTTATATGCAAGAATGAGCCATTCGATACTCATTTTCGATTTTTGACCAAAATGAGCCATTTTCGGCCAATGTAAACGCCATATTATTTTCGCTTAAGATTTTGTATGCAAAAATAAGTCATTTGCTTCTCATTTATGATTATTGACCAAAATGAGCCATTTGAGGACAGTGTAAATGGCACATAAAATTCACGCTAATGGGGTAAAAGATGTTTTTTAAAATTTTATTATTCTTTTTATTATTTACTTAAAAGGCAACACATACAACATATGGCGACGAATCACACTGAAAAGCAAATTTTAAACCAAAATACATGTTATTTTATTTTGTTACTTATTTTCGTGAAAAATGCAAATAGCCTATTTACAGAGTACAAATTATTGTAATTTCTACTGTAAATTTGCGCGTTCGACCCATTCAACCGGCTGCGGTATAAAATTGAGTTGAAATTACTTAGACCGTGTGCGAGTACGAGTAAACTGAGTTAAAGTAAATTGAAATTTCTTTGAGATATTTTGCACTGCACTTATGTAAATATGTATTTATTTTTTTTATTTATTGCACTTATTTATTATATTTTGTTAAAAGTTTTTAAATTTATTTATTAAACATCTTACAAAATTTTCACAATGGTTACACCTCATTTACCCTACTCGAAATTGTGGTATATACCAACATTCTCTGACATACCGACATAATTTACTATTTCCCTCAATTTACTTCAACTCGCACGCGGCCTAAATACTAACACTCGTTGCTATACCGACATAGTTTACCATTTCTTTCAATTTACCATAAATATACTCGAACTCGCACATGGCCTAAATATCATTATCATGGCCTATTAATATCATTAAATATCATTAGGGTAAAAAATTAATATAATGATTATCTATCAAAAATGTAAAAACAATTGAAAATAATAAACACAGACTTATCACACAATAACATTTATTTATTTATTTTATTTTTTTTTGGGTTGTTAACCCTATAACCGCTCTAAAACTGTTTTTATTGTATTATCTCTCGTTGACATGCCAAAATGAAAATGTTAATAGATTAGAGAAAAACACGACTTGCCGTATATATTTTTATAAAATTTAATAACATTAATTTTAAGTAGTTATACATAGTTACTAATAATGTAAAGTATTGGTAAGTGTAGTGTATAAAAAGCACAATGCAAAAATACTAATATTTATTATTATTGTAACAACTTAAGGTTTATTGCTTTTTTTTTGTTTTGTTTGTGTTAGTGTTTGTTAACTTGACTAAAGCCGCAATTGGTATTAATAACAACAACAACGACAACGCACCAACATATCTATTGGACACAAGACACGTCGACAAGTTTTGTTAACACAGATTAGAGTAAAAGAAGATCAGTTGTAACTTCGAAGATTAAGAATAATAAATTTTTAAGATTGATTTAAATACAAGAAGGCTGTTAAGTAAAATACTGCACTACTTTGTGCAACATGGCAGGTGGAATACGTTTGACTAGCTTTCGGAGCGGACGCTTCTGTCGTTTAGCGCTGTGCTGTCTCGTTATTTTGCCACTTCTATATTTATTGGCCACATGGAGTGATAGTCACAAACGTGTACAAGGCGTTTACCAGGCCAAATTTGGGGCTTTACGACAAAATTATCAAAGATTAGAGGGAAGACCCAAAGAAGGACCTAGAATAGTAGAAGGTAAGCGTATATATACACACACGTATACACAAGTTATTCCTCACTATTATTATTTAATTACTTGCATCAATAATTTTTATTGCTTTTTTCTAAAGTAGTTGCTGTTTGGTGAGTTTAATGACTTGTTGACTTTTCAGTTTCTGCTGAAATTAATTATTTTTTATTAAAATAGTTATCAATTTTTTGCCGGGAACATCTCACGTTTTGAGTCCATACCGATTGGTATGACTCATTAGTTACGCCGAAATATTACAAAATAAGTGTAACCTTACCGGCTTTCTGAGTGCTGCCTCTTGCCGGCAGCTAACTAAATTGTTTTGTTTATATTTCTTCAACATTTTTAAGATTGTGTTAACAACTTCTCTTGTTTATTGATTGTATAGTTTTTGAGATAGAAATCAAAACAAAATATTACCTGAGTAAACGAGATAACACTTTTTGTTATTCGAGAAAACAAATATCATGAAAACAATTCATATAACTTTTGCAACTTTTCAGTGTATAATATGTATTATATTCTTTTTTAAATAAGAAATGGTATATGCTAATCTGCAGAACACCTACTTGTCAGACCGTATCAGATTGTCATTGTAGGTAGCAGATAGAAAAGGAAGTCCAGAGTTATTTAATGTAATTACCTACCGTGAAGTCACAAAATCGGTTTGATCTTAACACACATATCGGTATAATACGGCAATAACCGTATCATTAGAGCTCCTAGGAATTCCGTCGGTACCAATTGAAGCTATACGTTTGGATATAGTCTCTTCTTTAGTGAGAGAATGTCGTTGTAGTAGAGTATAGTTACGATATAGTTTCCTCCGTTCTCTGTTGAAGTGTTCCTTCATTTGGAATCAGGTTAAATTGCCATCTAACAGTTTCTTTACTTTTCTTCATTTTCTTTAAACAATAACAAAAGTATGGAATAAAAGTATGTTGTGGGGTTCATTGAAAACGTTATATATACATTTTTGTAAGTTTTTGTAAGTTTATGGTCTTTCTCTCTCACTTTATATATTTGGTACATGACTAACATTATATTATATTTATGTTAAAGCTATTTGAGCCAGTGCACTTGAGCACTTTTACTCTTTCTTAACTCGAGGTATTTTCAAAACCCCTCTTTACGTCTTGACTAGATTATTGTTTGTCACTTCATCAGACTAAGTAATAATTGACCTCAGATCTAACTTTATTTTGTATGGATTTTGTATGAAAAATGGCCCTCATTGCGGCACATTTTTTTACTTAATTGTTATAGTGTAAGTGACATTAAAACCTGTATTTTGTAAAATTGATGTCTAATTTTTATTTTAAATTATTTATTATGATGTGTATATTTTTAGTATACAAGTGTAATTTCCTTTAAAAAATTCTGTCTTTGTGTAAAATATTTACTTAGTGCTTTAGAGTTAATATTGATTCAGTAAATAGCCAATTTTGCAGTTGTTGCAAAACAAATAATTTATTGTAAATTTGAAATGAGTTTGATAGTAGTTTTTTTTTTATTAAATATGCACGACTATACTTTTAATCTTATTCTTATTTTATTCTATTTATTTTATTGATTTTAAAATGCATACAAACTGTATCAATATGTCTTTTGGTACTAAGTGTGTATCTATCTACTAGAATTGAATTTGCAAAGTAATTGTCTTTATATATTAAATACACTATATATATAGGGTCTTCAATAAGTATGTACTTTTCTTAATATAACAGCACACAAACAGCAGATAATTAATCTGTCAACTAGCACCATGTTTTTATTAGGTAATGTTTGGATCATCCATCAAGATTTATAGTTTATTTTATATAATATAAATTTTCAGTAACATATTAAACTTCTACTGGGTTTTATACGAGAAAGTTATCAGGTTCGCTCTTATACCAATAATTTGTTAATAACAGTGTCTGCTGCATGAAACAAATAAGACCCAAAAGTGATCCATTAGCTATAGAAGCATTAGCTGCATTCTTATAAATTCACTGCTTACTGATAACTATCGTCTAGTGACTTACTTAAGCTGGGCATGTTTAAACATAAAGTAAATCGGAATGTTAAAGTCTAGAGAGTTCGGATAGAGGTATTATAACCTATTTATTTTTCTGTCTATAGTGGTACAGGTTCTGCATTGGAATTCAATCTTAAAAACAAACAAGAAATGCACTATATGTGAGATAACGCTTTAATTATTCGAAAAAATTGTGGAAAATTTGAGTTCCAATGGTATTTCTTTTTCATTTTTGATATTTTGAAACCATATCTATATCGCCAAAAAATATATTTATCGATTTAAAGCTCTACACTTCTTTAAAAAAATACAAAATATATAGTTAAAAGTATTCCAAGGTATTTAAATTAACATGTTAAAGAAACCATTTTAATTTCAGTGCCACTTAATCATTCATATTAATATTCTTATTTCTAAGTAATTAGTTAATTTCATGATTTTTTTTCACCTATTAATGTTTTTATTCGAATTTTAAGGTCTTGGAAATTTCGAGCCGAAAAATGTTAAAAAACGTATTGGTCCAGGTGAAAATGGCGATGCACATATACTTTCTGCCGATAAGAAGAATTTAGCTGACGAGACTGAAATGGAATATGGCATGAATATAGCTTGCTCTGATGAGATATCTATGCATCGTTCAGTACGTGATACACGTTTAGATGAATGTAAACATTGGGATTATCCATATGATTTACCAAAGACCAGCATTATAATTGTCTTCCATAATGAAGGATTCTCTGTACTTATGCGTACCGTGCACTCTGTTATTGATCGTTCACCTAAACATGTGTTACATGAAATTATCTTAGTTGATGATTTTTCGGATAAGAAAGATCTTAAGGAAAAATTAAATGAATATATCGAAAGTTTCCATGGACTTGTCAAATTAATACGTAATAATGAACGTGAAGGTTTGATAAGAACACGTTCCCGTGGTGCTGCAGAAGCAACAGGTTAGTTGACAAACTTTGAAACGTATCCATTTGTAATACATATGTATATATTGTATATTTTAGGTGAAGTCATTGTCTTCCTTGATGCACATTGTGAAGTGAACACAAATTGGTTGCCACCACTTTTAGCTCCTATATACCGTGATCGCACTGTTATGACTGTTCCTATTATAGATGGAATTGATTATAAGAATTTTGAATATCGTCCAGTTTATGGCAGTGACAATCACTTTAGAGGCATTTTTGAATGGGGTATGCTTTACAAAGAGAACGAAGTACCTAAACGTGAATTGAGACGACGCACACATAATTCAGAGCCATATCGTAGTCCTACGCATGCTGGCGGTTTATTTGCAATAAATCGTGATTATTTCTTAGAACTTGGTGCTTATGATTCTGGTTTATTGGTTTGGGGAGGCGAAAATTTCGAATTAAGTTTTAAAATATGGCAATGCGGTGGAAGTATTGAATGGGTGCCATGTTCACGTGTGGGTCATGTTTATCGTGGTTTTATGCCTTATAATTTTGGAAAGTTGGCGCAAAAGAAAAAAGGTCCACTTATAACAATTAATTATAAGCGAGTAATTGAAACCTGGTTTGATGAGACGCACAAAGAATATTTTTACACTCGTGAACCACTGGCACGTTATTTAGATATGGGTGATATAAGCCAACAATTAGAACTGAAAAAACGTCTCAATTGCAAATCATTTCAATGGTATATGGATAATGTTGCTTACGATGTTTATGATAAATTTCCGGCATTACCGGCTAATCTACAGTGGGGTGAATTACGTTCTGTTGCTACAGATAATTGTCTCGATTCAATGGGTCACCAACCGCCAGCAATAATGGGTCTATCACATTGTCATGGTGGTGGTAATAATCAGCTTATACGTCTGAATGCTGCTGGACAGATGGGTGTAGGCGAACGTTGTGTGGAAGCCGATCGTCAGGGTATTAAATTGGCAGTTTGCCGACTGGGTACTGTGGATGGACCATGGAATTATAATGTAAAAAGCAAGCATTTGCTGCATCGTGTACATAAGAAATGCATGGCACTGCATCCAACTACACAGCAATTATTTTTGGCGCACTGTGATGTTAATGATGGATATCAACAATGGGTGTTTAAAGAAATTAAACCAAGATGGGGTATGGAAGATGATTAATGGGTTGTTAATGCTTTTAGATTGTTATTGAAGAATATAGCTACAATGTGTGAGAGGTTTCATGAGATGGTTTTTTAAGTAAAAACTTTTATGAAGAGAAAGACAAAAGAAAACTAAACACTAATATTATTTTTTATACTTTCAATTTTATTTTTTTTTGTTCTGTTTTTGTTTTTTTGTTTTTAGTTCTGCATTATCTTTTGTAGGAATTGGTGGTAAAATGATTTTCAAGATAAAATCTCGAAGAAATGAAAAGTATGAACAAAATCAATTACGTCCAAAATTGACAAATTCTACAAAACAATTAATTTAATTGTTTTAGTAATTTTATTTATTTTATATATTTTTTAAAAATATTTGATTTAAATAACTAAAGTGCTTCAACATTGCCAATATTTCATAGAAACCATAATGTTTAGACTTCCATTTTTATTTAGGAAAATTTATTTAAAAAATTGTAACAAGAATTATAACTAATGTATGTTGTACGATTCGTTAATTATATTTTTTACTAATAATAACACTGATTTTTGATTTTATTATTTCTTATTTCTAGGATGACTACTATAATCGGTAGTCATTAATGGAATCTACACATATGTTGGTTAATAATATTATTAATATAATTACATTGCACTTGTTTATTTACAACGGATCAAAAAATAATAAAATATTCCTTAATTTTATAAATTAAAAAGCAAATAGTTCTATATATTAGCTTTATACTATATAGCTTTTGTATAGAAATTTTTCTTGAACTATGTGGACAAATTATTTGATAAAAAAACTACAACTTAAAGTTTATTTTTTATTTGATTTAAAACAATTTTTCAAAAAAATTGTGACTATGAAAATCAATTTGCAATATTTATAATTAAAATTTTTAGTATTTATTTTTATAAATATGATAATTTCAAAATAAATGAATTTAGCATTATTGTTCAATTAAATTATAATAGCATTTAGTGAAAGCAAATCAAACTTTTATATTAAAGCAATTATATTTGTAATTTACTATTTTAGAGTTAAAAGTCTGAAATAAAATATTTTAATAAAATATTTCGACTGTTAAAATTTGTAATTATTATTTTACTGATTATAAGAAGGAATTTTGTTTTAAGTTTGAAGATAGTCTGTCAAATTTGTTGCTGATAAATTTTTTTGCTTACTTACTGCAGAATAGATTCTGTTTTGAAGGGAAGGAGACTTTTATTAACATATTCTGTGATTGTACAACTCTTTTCGGAGTCAGTATGAAAACACTGAGGCGGTAGCTCCTGTTATCATCTGATATTGGGAACTATCTATGAAAAATACTATGATCTATATTCAAAAGACTAATTGTCATAACAATTGTTGCAGAGCTTTGCTTCCCCGAAATCTTAACTCCCTATTGTTCTCTATACTGTAGAGTAGGTTTATTTGAAAAATATAATATGTAAAATCATCACTTTAAGAAAGTTACTTAAAATGATAAATATAATATAATATATAATATAAATATAATATAATATATATATAAAATACCACTTAAAAGTGTTGAACTGAACTTTTTAAAGATTTGGGGCAAGATACTGCAAGCCAACTGTAATAAAACTGTATAAAGAAAAAATATCTAGGCTGAACAAAAATAAACCATACGATGAGGATCAAATATGGGAATCGCTGGTCTAACGTTTTGGTTTATTTTCTAGTAAGTTGAATATTTTTCATTAATACACCATTCAAGTCTTCATAGAACTTGGAAATATGTATTATATTAGTAATCACTATTTCTATATCAATTTTTCAGTCAAGCTCAGTAATATAGCGTACTGATACGCTATATTCAATATGGTTTTAAATATATGTTATTTAAAAAAAAAACTTATATATTGAAAAAAGTTAAATAAAGTACAACCTCAATGCTGATATACATATATTTGGAAAAATTAAATTTTAAAATGTCTGCACTTCTCCCCAATTGGTCTAAACTGCTCCAGGGGGAAGAGATCTCAATTGTCGTAAAAAGTAGACATAAAAACATATATTTTGTTTTATCGAAAAGTGCTTTGCGTACTGAAACAAACAGAAGAACAATAGAGCGAATGGCTTTTGTCTATGTGCTGGAAGATCGGAACATTGGGGGAAATGAGAAAGTTAGGCATATAAAAATAATATTTATTTCTCTTGAATATATCGATTACAATTCAGACTTTGATTTCAGTGATCACAACTTTTTATCTAGTATAACCAAATAAAAGAAGTCTTGAGCGAGTCTCGGCTCTTATGGAAAATTAGAATTATGAGGGCAATTAAAAAGACTAGCAAAAAGAGAATCTACCGGTTTTTGCAACAATTAATATGCCTATAAAACTATTTATTACTAGCAAATACTTTCAAATAGCAAATTGTAAAAGGAAAAGTCACACTGCATGTGAGATCAGTAAAACATTTAGTAATTATAACCAGTGAGGTTTTGGTTTATTCGAGAACAGTTTATTAAACTAGTAATCACTTAAATTTAGTGTCACAGTTGCGTACAGTATAAAAAATAAACTCTTTTTAATTTATTCTGTGCATTTCTTGCTCTTTGAGTAACAGAGAACTTACCCTATGTAAGCCCCTCTTCAATAAATCTGAAAAACCATTCATATAGACAATGATGGGTTCCAAAACTGTATAGACTGGATTTAACCGATTTTAAGAGGCAGTTGAGAATGGATATGTTATCAAAACTATAGGACGGAATCAGTGCTCTATCTAGCCAACGAACTACAAGTTGAATCTAACCAAGTCAAATAGGTAGTTGAGACAGATGATATGGTATCAAAACGATGGGAAGGCCCTAATTAACTCATGAACTTCGTGACTATCTCATTCTGCTCATCAAATAAGGTCCTTAAAGTTGCAGGTGGTATGATTATGCTATTAGATACTCACAGTGCTAAAGAAATTCACTCTATCGTTTTTTATTTGTGTCTGTTGTCTCGTTGAGTTTTGATGGATTATTGTGTTTCACCTTCTTTTAAGTCGATGTTTTTGATTTGAATATAGAATTTTAACAATTGTTTTCTTTAAGTTTCTCGTATTAACTGCAAGCAGTCAATTGATCAATTGATCAATATTTTCAGTGTTATAAATTGTACCGATTTATGGTGAAATGAATTTTGAAGAGTTTATAAAGTTGCATGTAACAATGAAAATCATTGATATCTTAAATTACTATTCGTAGTATAGTTAGTCATATAGCATATAATCGCGCCATAAATTAGTAATATATTATTACCTTTAATGTTTAAGTGGTAAGTTATAAAATATTGTAAATGAATCATAAAGTTATTATTGTATAAAATTAACTTGATTATTCAAGAAGGGGGCATCTATTGGTAATTGTATATGATAAGCATTCATATCCGTTGTTGTATCTTGGGTAATGGCACACAAAAACCCCATCAAATTAATGGGAAAAATGATTTTTTTAAAAATCATTTTACGAAAATACCATACCGAAGAAAACAACAGGTGTAAATATCAAAACAAATTAGAAATAATATAAAAAAGCATTAGTAACTATTTTTAAAAAGAGCATAAAATTGTCAAAATATTTATTGGTGATAACGAGTCATCACCTCTTATCAGTAATTCAAAGTTAATTAACTTTGCCCTATGAAAAGTTTTATATTAATATAAAAACACTGTCTGATGACTGAGTGTCACACAGACTGTAAATCTAATAGACTCTTTAATCAAACAAAAAAAAAAATAAATTAAATATAATATATATTATATATCAGTAAATGAGTTAATACAGTTTTCCGGTTAAATTATTGCAAACAATCGAAAGTATCTGAATGGTTTAATTTATGCAATTAAAAAAAAGCTAAGCAAGCACCTTATCAAAGCGTTATCAGTTGGTTCCTTCTGTTATTTATATTTGATTTGAATGTTTTTTATTTTGTATATTTTGTATATTTTGATACGCATTGTCAAAGTAGAAATTGTGATTTCTTGATAAGAAAATGTTTGAAGCTGTTTTTTCTGCGCTTCGACATAAATAAAAAGCCTTAAAACGTGTAGCACTGGTTTAGTTTCCACGAAGCATTCGTTTAAGTGTATCGAATATTTTTCTAAAGAAATTGTGAAATTTTTTAAATCCTTAAAAAAGATATACCATAAATAAAATGAATTTCCGATTAAGTGTTGCTTGTATCTGCTTGGCTGCTTTGTTGGCCATTAATGTGGTAGATGGTAAATCAGTCCTTGAAACGCAGCCAAAGTTACGTGACATAACCGTTGTACAGGATATACGTGATTTCGCCAGAAACCATCCAGGCTTAAAATTGACACGTTTAAGCAAGGAACCTGGCAGAACCAGAAGCCAAAGTGTACGATACACTTTGGGTGGACGTGTTGCAGGTAAGACTCATATTAAGTAATTTTAGTTGGGAGAAGATGATTGAGAAATAAAGTATATACTAATCTCTAGAAAGGTTATTAAGTCAAGCAAAAATATTTAAAATAGAAAAATTGCTAATAAATTATTCAAACGAGTTTTTTTTAAATAAGGGAAATAAATAATTTCTTGACTTTAAGTATTTATTTGAGTTATATGTGATGAGTTATATGTTATATGTGATAGAAAAGATGGAATATGTGTCTAGAAAATCATTTTAAAAGTAATCCTTTTTAAATTTAAAAAGGATTAAATTAAAAAAAGCAAAGTTATTTTCAAAGGACATTTTATTAAATAAATAAAAAATAGAAATAAATTGATAGAATAAATTGATAGAAATAAATGATAGAATACGTCAATCGTTATGGTCAACTAAATTACATTATAAAACATTGAAAATTAATGAAGGTTTGTTATTAGAAAACCCATGATGTGAATTTATGCCACCATACATACCATATATGATAGTAATTTAATGTTTTAGTTGCAAAAAAAAACCCTGGAGAGTAGCTAAGTGTAATTGTAGCTCATATAATAATTAAAATGAATTGGACTGAATCAAAATGGTTTTGAACTGCAAATTCTGCATCAAAGACGTAGGCTAAATAAGCTTGTTTTTTGACTGAGTTTATGGTTCAAATCGATCTATCGATCTATATGCGGTTTACAACTCTGTCACATAGTTGATAATAAAATTGCATTAGTATTCAACTTCAAAAACAATGTGATTAGTTATTAAACATATAACTGCTATGCATATAAATAAAATAAAATTTATAAGAGAAGTTCCGAGCAGTAGTGAATTGTACCAATATTTTTATTTCATTTTAATTAATTAAAATTATTCACGAATAAATAAATATAAGAAAGTACTCCAAGACCACTGATGATGGGTATGTGGCAGCACTCGAAATCGCGTATGGTCACTAAAAATTCAATTAATTAAAAATAATTAAAAATTTTGTTATTATAATTCACTACTGTGCGAAACCTCTCTACAATAGTTTCTAAAAATACAATTTAAATGTATATTAAATATTACGTTCAACAATAATTAACTTTCTATTTTACAATCGTAATAACGTTTTTTTTTTCATATATATTACAGGTGATCGTCTTGTTGCACAAGGTTCTGATGTCTTTAACTATCCAGCCAAAAAAGATGTTGCTATTCAACTAACTTATCCTGAATCCGGCACTGGTAGTATTGTCACATTTGTTGATCTTGTTTGCCAACAAGATAGTGACTCTGGTAATGCATACGTTATTGCTGGTGGAATTGGTCAACGTTATATCTCTATTGTAGTGGAAGCGAATCAAACTGAACAGTTCTCATATAATGCACAATATTACGGCTCCAACTAAAATCTAAATACTATATTTTCATTTATATAAAATACATAAAGTACAATGTACCTGCATTAAATAAATCATTTTAGTTTAATTTTTTATTTGTAAATCTATCATTTTAATTTTATTTTTTTTATTTGAACACTGAACTGCACCTCTTTCACTAGCTCTATTGTTCAATACGTATATATAACAAGCAAATCTGAACACAAGGTCTTAATCATGTGAATGTTAGTATTATGAGATTTTAACTGAGTAAATCTATATTAGATCGTAAAAAGAAAATTTAAAAGAAAGAAGCTGAAGTGAGTGTTTTTACAATCTATCATCGAAGACCTAGATGTCGTCTATATCTTTATCTAAGAATTTAAATTCTGATAATAAAATATCGACGATAGACTCAGAAAAGAAATTCTATAAATTTCGTCTTATAAATAAAAAAGCTATCCCCTAAGGTCAAAATTTAATATCTGTTTATTTGCGTTGGTGAGGTTACGTATTGCACCTATTAGCGATTTGTAATTCTTTAAATTAAAATTATAAGAAAATTTACTCAAGTTTTACTAATTTTTACTAAAACTCCTTGAGGATGTGTGGTTTCATCAATTTATTTAAAATTTGATGTGAATTTAATGATCTCTTGCATTTTCAAGAACGATTATGATAAATTTGGTTTTTTGAACTGAATACCGGCTGTAAGAAATTGTTTTAGATAAGTACCTCGTGAGTTCCATGGCTATTTTAATCCCTGATATACCAGAGAGTTTTGAAGTACTATCTACTTATATCTTTTAAACACTGGACTAGTCAATAGATCTTGAATTTGCCATTTTATTTAAAGACTGAGTTTAAATGTCAAAAGAAAAGTAAAGAGAAAGAAGAGTAAAGAGTCTAAATTATTGATTTATTCTAACCTAAATATTATAAGAAGAAAGATTTTATAATACAACTTAAAAATCTTTAGAGGAGAACTTTAGTGGAGAAAGTTTTATTTTCTCCACTACGAACACTTGTTAAAGCAATATATAATGTAATAATAATGTAGTTAATGTAATACATAGTATCTCATTTGTTCCACTACACATTATCATTATTATCTCAAGACACACATTTGATATATGCGTACTTGAGAATATTTTTTTTCATTCAAAAATAATCGCACTTTGGGTATGCAATATTATTGTAACACCAAATAATCCCAGTGGAACCCAAAATTATGTGACCCTAATTGAACCAATTTCCAGTAAAATCAATCATTTTTTATAATACTCTGGAGAAAAACAAAGAAGTGCTTCATGATTTCTTTCTGCTCCTCACCGTTGCAGCTTCTGCAGTAATAATTGATGTACTATATAATCAAGTTTATATCCAGTTTGATTTGAATTAATTTTCTTCAGATGGAGAGCGACATCTATGACTTTCTAAGTTTCATTTTGATTAGATAAGCATTGAATGAAAAAAAAAGGACTTCTGCTATTATTTTCACTTAATTTGGTATGAGTAATAAAGTTACATGTCGTTACAGGGCCACTTATAAGTCCTCTTTTTAGAAAAGTTTTACTAGTATTACATTTAGACACAATTTATTTTCAGAATATAGATGATTATAAAATTCATTAATTTTTAATAAATGCAACTTAAAATTTTATTTTGATTGAGAATTCTGATATTCTAAAAATGAACGCCTAAAATTTTAGTACATGTTTTTAGTACATCATCTTTAATATTTACTTTACTACTTAAAATATGCAACAAATTTTATAAGATTATTTTAGAATTTTTTATGTATTAAATAAATTTTTAGTAAATTATTTATTATAGTATAGTATAGTATAGTAAAGTATAGTACATTATTATTGTTATATATTTGTTTATTATTAAAACAAAACAAAAAATTGCTACAACATGAGGTTCTGTGGCGTTATTGAGGTTGAACTTATAGTATAGATTTCAAACTATAGTATAGATTTGTGTTTAAGAGTGAAGATATATTTTCTAGTATGTAAGAAACCCTGATATTTATAGAGATCCTTTCATTGAAAGTATCACCAAGGGGTGTTACAATAAAAGTGGTGTACTTTGCTAGGTTTTCTCAGTGTTATCCAAATAAGGCAACCCTAAGTGGTAGAGTAAATGTACTATCTCTATCAACTTTATTCACGATTCATATGAATTGTTGACTTGTTTTTAATAAAATTAAATCTATTTATCTACGATTGGATGGTATAGAAACTAATGTTAAAGTAATTTAGACAATTTTTTCTAATTTGCTTCAAGAAATTAGTTCAGTTTGCTTTCAATTAAAAATAAAACAGCAAATTTATGGTATATATTTAAGATTGCCTACCTACGAATGATTCTGATACTTTCTATGATTTCTAATGATTCATAATTTAAAAATATGATTGCTAAATCGTATATGGACTATCTGCTCATATGTTGGCGAATCATATGGCATATTTTCGAAACTACTCCGGATAAATGTTCATATTATTTACCAATTGCATATACAACATTATTTATTCTGGGAATTCACATGATGTGGTGCGGTTTTCTGGATATATGTATTAGTAAATATTGGAGAAACTATAGAGATGTCTCACTTTGTTGGCAACTTATAATTTTTATAATAAAAATATTTGCAGGATTTTGCTTATCAGAAATTATTTTATCTCTTTTATGTTTTCACTGTACTTATGAGATCGTAGTAAGTAGTGGAGAGAGATACTTATTAATATTTCCAGCTGTTACAATACAAAAGTATCCTACACTGGTAGGATATCTTTTAATTTGTTGGGTATTTTTTGGTGGATTGTACTACTTTGAACCAGTTAAAGAAAAAATAAAGAAAAGTTTTATAAAACTCTTGAACATAATACTCTCGCCGAATAATAATTACAATGAATTTAATTTACTGTATCCGATATATATTCGTACCGTAGATAATCAAGATACTTACCTGGAATATACGGATAGTTTAAGTGATGAACAATTTTATAACGAAATAGATGATTTTTACCATAGTATGTATAATTTAATATATTTAATTTATTCATAACTTTTTATTAAAGTTTTCCTTTAAGACGATTTCATGGGTGACTGACAGTACGAAGGTATTTTTAACCAATGCGCATTTATATATATATATGTATATTTATATAAACAGATTTGGTATTTTATTCAATGTAATAATTGCTACTCAATATTTATTTAATATTCAGTAATAGTATTAATTTTATTTTATATTTTAATAAAAAGTTTAAATAGTTAATATGATTTTTTTATTTATCTATTTTAATTCAATAGTTTTGTTTTCATAAACTTTAGAAAATGGATAGTCCTTTGAATTTTTTGAATTTCAAATTTTATGTTAAATATTTCTGTAAATTTTTATAATTGAATTAAAGCAAAATCTATTAACTTTGAGAAAATTATTAGAAAAAACAGTGTATCTAAATACATAATTTAATTTCAAAACATTACTTAATGTGTCAATAATGTTAATCGATTTTAAGTAACGTTTTTAATCATATTTCGTACATTATCGAAATTGAACTTATTTTCCACCACGATAAAAGCTTTTTAATATTATTTTGCTTACAATTATATTGACATTTAAGAAATGAATGTATTTTCACACATTTAAGAAATTCATTTCTTTTTGAACTTAATTTTAAAATGATTATTGAAAAAATGGCGTTATTGGACGATATTAATAGTTAGGGAAAAAATTTAAATAATTTAAATTAATTATGTTGAGGCTAGTTGAGTCAGTGCATTTTTATTCTCTATTAACTGCGAGGTTTCTTCAAAACCCCTCTTTGCGCCTTGACTAGATTATTGTTTATCACTTCATCAGACTAAGCAATAATTAACCTCAGATCTGCATACCTCCCCGAGGAGCCTGTAACCATTCTGAGATTTGATAACGCAGTGTTGGTAAGTCTGTCAGATTTCGCAAATAGTTTCTGGTCTCTATCCTTTATGTATTTTTTTGATGGGATCAATCTTGAATCTAGGATGTCATTCGTCCTAATGTAAAAGTTTTCTCAGAGCCAGGCTTTGTGCAATTTCTAGCTAACGAATAGTAGTGTTTGAAAAATAATTTAAAATTTTGCCATTTTTGTAGAAAGGATAATAAAAACTGTTTTATTTGAAGAACCCTTAAGTTGTTTTTGTAATCCAAAAAACTATTCTAAAATTCTTTACATTACGTATCTACAATCTAAATTGAAAATAATATTTAAAAAATCTATACCGTTTGTATACATATATATTACGTACTTTAAAAGAACAATTTATTATATATAAATAATTTATATATATAATTTTTTATATTTTTTTATTTCATATATAATTTCTTCGGGTCTGTTGCTATAGACCCTGAGAAAAGAATCATGAAAAATGATTAGGTGGAAGAAGATAGTATATATAGGTTTTCAAACGACGATAATTGGATAAATGTCTATAAATGTTATATTGAGTCTTTTTCGGGTTAGTGCATCTGGGCACTTTTACTCTATGATGACTGGGGGTTTCTGCAGAATCCGACCCATATCACTTTGTTATAAAGCAACAAAATATTGCTAAAGTTCAGTTTAAAGCCACTGAAGAAACTGGCTGGACAAAGTCGGGAGAATATAAGCATTAGAATAGATCAAGGTTTTAAGGTCTTCGCTATGTCGCATCGTCTTTTTTACCAATCATCATAACAATAATATTAATTTCTAAAAAGGAGACTGAAAAGACTGCGATGACTACTGTAATAAGTAACACAATAGTCTTACTAATCTTATTTCAAGAACGCTTGGAAGTGTTGAAAAGGTTATTTCAGTAATTCGCATTGCTTTACCTAGAACTTTGACAGTATATGCAAAATAGTACATCCTATAGCTTCTAAAGAATCCTTGTTGGATCTGAAAACCTCGACGGTAAAAGTTGTGGTAAAAAGCAGAATATTGTAACAGTTGCAAATCATATTAGGCATGTCTAAATTTTCTTGAGTATTGGGGTTTATAATTATTAGTAATTTACCGTAATGTCTTAATTTTCTGGAGTATTACTAATTATGATTTATTCTAAATAATATAAGTATGGAATGTTCTTATACTTCTTGATTTATATAATTTTTTTCTTAAAACTTATTGATCATTTTCACTTCTTTTATACAAATCCATAGACTTGTTAAGCTGTAAATTCTTTGAATTTTCCTATTACTCATATCTTTCAAAAAGAAAACTTATTTTTAGAATTATTTCATCCATGGCGCCAATGCAATATGTGATATATACAATATGTATTTATATATATTTTTTCACGAATTTATGGGATTATTTTCAATTGACAACGCGACTAACAATAATCGCAATATCAATTCTTATTTTGTATTTTTTTTATATTTATAATCTGATATTGCCGAGTAAACAAGTAGCCAGAAAATACCGATAAACGCGTAATTCCACAACAAGTGACGTCTATTGTCAAATGGGTGAAAGAATATTATAAATTTCGCTACCGTTTTAAGAATATACGACAGTCAGGCGATTTGTAATGGCCTTTGCTGTATATAATAAAACGACTTAATACTTGAATAGGTAATTGATTAGTTTTGATTGCTTTCTAAAAATATAAGAGTATATCATATATTTTTATTTAATTAGATTTTGTCATATTACCAATATTAAAAATAATTACTGTAATATATACCATATTAATATTGATTTAATATTGCTTTGAATTTTGGAATTTACTGATTGGATTCTAAGTTAGTGAAATTAATTGAATAGTTTTTCAAGTGAAATTTTAGATGAGACCTAATTAGGTCTAACGATTACCTATTAGTTGTATCTACAAAAATTTATTATATTCATTATACAGTTTTTCAGTCAATCAAACTAGGTTAAACTTTTGACTCTCCATGACTTCAATTAGCGCCTTCCTACTGTTTTGCTTCCACATTCTCGGAAGCGTTCGGTTGTTTATGAAGGCAGTACTTGTCCATTTCAATTGCTGCTAGTTACTTAAGTTTATTGAAGAACCGCATACCTAGGGTAGCTGTTCTTTACCTCAATAGAGCAGGGAATGAACAGAAAAATTGTAAAATAATTTGTAATATCTCCATCTGATTGCAGAAATGACAGTAAATATTGTGTTGAACTCCCGTTGTGGCCACCAGATTACTTATAGCGAAGAAAGTAGTGATTACTGCCGTCAGTCTAGAAAAGTCTCCTTTATTATTGTTAATTAGTAATGTTTGCTTCAGATGGTGATCTGGATGTAGTATTCTAATAACCTTATATGGTATGTTGCGAGATTTTTCGATGCATAATACATCATATAAAGTAGCGTGAGCACTATTTTTGCAAGTTTTTTTTCCATAGCAGATTCCATAGCTGATTAGGGATTCAGATTGGACAGAAATATTTTCCATTAAGTAGGGGTAAAATCAAGACCTGAATTGTAGATTTTGAATAACATAGCACTGCCATTTTATATTTGTATTCTGTAAAAAGCAATCTAAATATTGTAAATTGTGAAGACTTTTCATTGGAAGATATTAGACGAATTAGGAAAGAGTACAGACTTTTTGATATCTACTCTTTCTGAGTATATACACTGCAATTGTCCTTTTTTTCTTTGAAGACAGAATTCATGTTAAATGTCACTCTCGCGATGATGTTTTATCTGAAAATTTTGCGCTAGTTTCGTTAACAGGCATCCATGGCCTTAGGTTCTTTCTTTTCATAGGCCTGCTTACCTTAAATTTTTGAGTCAGATAGAGTCAGAATTTTAACGAAATAATTACTAATCAACTTCATTCAATACAATCAATTGGTGCAGTAAATGTTGTAGATTTTATAATAAAAGGATTTTATTTCAAACCTGTAGATTGAAACCTAAAGTTTCTACAGATTTGAGTTTAAGAATTTAGAAACCAGTTATCCTTTATAATATATTTTACACGTACTATTAAAAATATTGCACAGTAGAAATTTTATTTCATTAATGAAATAAATTTTATTTACAAAAAATATTATAGCTTAATAAATAGAATACATTAGGATGTCCTAATAATTTTTTGGCATGGATAAAGACTAGAAAAAATGCGCTTTTATTTAAAAAAATGCTAAAGTTGCTTTAAAAATAAATATAATTCCAGCCTTACGTCTTAAGTCCAGGTAAAGGTGAATGTTCCAAATTAGGTTAATTTTAGAAAGAATTCGACTCATCTTAGTCTATATAAATATTTGGTATTGTTTTGTTGAAATTATGAGCATCAAATTTAGGTACACCGGGAAATTTCCAAGCTAAAGATCGAAGATATTTGCTAAGGTTTATTTACGTGTTGAGATATCACTAGGTCAAGGTGGAGGTCGACCTCTTTCATTACTCGCCCATATACTAAAATAAGTTATTTATTTTCCATTTATTTGGTTGTCAAATTGAATATTTACCTTAAGATTGCACATGTAAATTAAGTTCTACAGGATCAAAGTATCGTCCTCTGCGATATACTAGATCAACTGGTGCGGGCCTCTTAAACTTCATTAGTAGCCACAAATGAGTTACTTTAATAAATGACCTAATGTAACTAATCTGAGATATTCCACCTAAGAATACAATTGCCATAAGCATATAGCCTACTAATGTTGGTTCTTGTTCTGTGAGTGTCTTCGTCGTTTTCCAAAAATACATCCATGACATGGAGTCCACTACTTCACCAACCAGGAATAAAGCATAATAAATTGACAGAAACAGGTAGCTCAGGCAAGTAATGCCCACGATTTGAGAGGGATAAATAAAAATTCTCAATATATTAGCACAAGTTGATACACGGTATTCCTTAGCCCATACGCATGCAAGATTGCTTAACAACAATACCATTCCAAAAACGAATGCGCAGGATATCAATGCCAGTGTAGGTTTCTTACCAAAATTTTCCGGATCCACAATGTTACTTATGTTCCATACAATACCAATTATCGACATAATACATTGCATATGACACTCATAATAATCAAGTATCCATTTCATTGTTTCGTTAAACATGTTGGATACAATATATATAGTACTATATACTAAAATTTCCTAATTGAGTTTTTAAAATAATTTTCCTAAATTTGAAACACACAAAATGGTTTAAAAAAAAAAATGAAAAAAATATTTTACGAATGTTTATTGTATAAAATATCGAGATATGTTTCAAAAATATAAGGTAAATTGATTTAAAATATGATTCAATGCAATGTTAAAATGATTCTAGAACACAGTTCCAGTTCCAGAATATATTTTTATATTAATTTTTTTATTAATATAAAAATATAGGATTACACAAGCGACAAGTTTTTAAG